GTTCACCCCAATCACTTTACTCATTTGATTTTTTTTCCCCTCATAACAAATAATTAAATATCTGCCAATTATGCATGAAAGGCACTCAATCAGAAGCAAAGGTTCCTCTTGATATGAAAAATGAGGGCTCTAATTTCTTTTATCCTCAAAAATAGGATCCAACTTAAAGAGCCACCAATATAACTTGTTTCCAAGCTCCAATTTAAGCAGGTAATGGTTATACCATAGCTTCAAGAATAAAATGTCATGCAATGCGCATCCAGTTCTAGTATATGTATCAGCTAGTTACTTACCTGAAACTTTTATGTTCAAGGAGATAATGGGACTTATGGAGTATGGACTATAAACTCAATCTGTCCTCATCAATTTGCAAAGCAATAGCCAGTGTATGATATCTGGAACGGCCATGAACCTACCAGAAGGAAGAAAATGAATTAATTTACTATCCCTTTTGCAATGCATGAAAATCAAATAATTTAATAATGAAAATGTTTGTTTGGTTTCCTTCAAACCAGGATAGCCTTAACCAGGATATCCTTACATCACAGGAAAAAATTCTTCACCAGGACATTCTGTGTCACCCCAACTGAGTGCCTCCCAAATCATGCACACCAACAACAGAAGACAAGCTTAGGACACCAGCTTAGGTTTGAATTTCTATCTCGTTCATTGCTCTAAATGCTTATTTATTTGGGTCAAAAATCAAGAACATAATCTATTCTAGTCATAGTAAATTATGTGGCATTGCAGTTCTTGTCTTGACTCATGATTTTGCGTCTTTAGCAGGCTATGAACAAGTTGTTTTGAATCTGTAATGTGCTAACATGTTCACAAAAAACAAAACAAAAGACAGAACAAAAAAACAAAATTGGGCCCAAACAGTCTTTTTTTCTTATACTGAAGCACTTGTCCAAAGCCTCTCCACCCAAGTAAGGCCCAAATACTAGGTAGCACTATCTTTGGGAAGTTAACTTCATGAGTCCAGTCTACAAATGAATAAATTTGAGAGACAAGAGATGTCAAGAATAGATAGGCACAAATCAAGGACATGAGTATTTTTTTTTTTTAATGAGCCCGTAAGCCCACTTAGAAGAAACCCTACCCAGCCTGTGACCCTGTTGGGGCCCATAGGTTGGGCGCCCCACACCACCCTAGCCCATGACCCCGTTGGGACCCAAAACCCCAACCCTCCCCTATGGGAGTGTTGGGGGGTGATGCTATTAGGCTACAATTGTTTTGACAGTGTGGTTTGTACAAAGCGATAGTTGTCAAACACAAAACTTGTAAACTCCCTAAATTATGTGAGTGAAGAAAAACTGATACAATGAAAATATGGACCGCACTAAAACAACTCCATGGTTTTGATATTTGATTTCGAAGAGATGGGTAAAAAATATATGTATTTACAATTTTTTTGTAGTTTCAAAAAATTGGCATGAAATTCAGATTAGTAAAGCCAACCACAATTAAGACAAGGTGCCAAACTGGATTGAGATAACAACAGATGGTATAAAATTTAGCTGTCAAGGTTAAAGACAGCTGCGTTCAACAAAAAAAAAAGGTTAAAGATAGCCACTTTCCAAACAATTCAGGGTATAAAATGTGGAACTATCAGTGTATGGAATCAAGATATATAGCTAAAAAACTGAGAAGTTCAATAAAATGGACAAGTTTATCTGAAATTGTAAAATTGAAAAATTGATAAGATGTGGTTCAATTCATAATTTGGGCCAACTAGAATAGAAGCCGAAGCGAAAAGAAAGAACATACTTCGCCATTACACTTTCAAACAAATAAATCACATGCAAAATGGCAAAAAGCTTAGAAGAAAAAAGAAAAAAAGTGACAGCATAGAGTTTAACACTCAACACCCACTACTGTTTTCGGATCAAGTACTTTCGGTTCTTCTCTAATATAATATTTTTCTGTGTTAGTGGTTTCGATGTTCCCGAATTATACTTTCTATCGATAGAAAATTTACAATTGAGAAGGTGAATCACGTTTTCGTTTCCTTTTGCCCTCAATCAATTTTCTCAGCAACCAAACAGAAACCAGCATGAATTAGCGGTGAGAACTCTGATTATATTCGAATTTTCCATTCGTCGAAATCGATTGCGAGAATTCAAATAGAAGTAAAAGAGCGAATGACAGAAAATTCTGTATATTTTAGCAATTTTTCAAAGTAAATATATAATGATTACCGCATGGTTTTGTTCGGTTTCGAGTGGAAAATCTCACTTTTGACGAAGATGAGAAAGTGATGGAAAGCCGAATCTCTGTGCTTTTTTTCCTTACTTTCCACAAACTGTCTACCTCAGCTATAGAAACAGAAAATTTACAAAATCAAAAAAGTTTTTCCAAACAGCGGGTTCGAATTTTCCAGGTTCGAATGGCTGGAAAATTAAAACAACGTCGTTTTGGTCAATTCGAGTCATTTGAACCGCAAATATTGTGGCCACCAAATATTTTTCTTTTCCAAAACACTTTTCAAAAAATTCTATTCTCTTATTTTTCGTATTTTTTTTTTTACTGAATTTTTTTAATACTTTTAGTAATTTTTTTACTTTTTAGACATACTTAACATAAATACACTTAAAAAATAAAAAAATTATAAAAAAATCTTTTAAAAATTCATTAAATATACAAAATATAAAAAAAAATACAAAAATTCAGTTCATTTTTTGTATTTTTATGTATTTATTAATTTTTTAAAATATTTTTTCACAATTTTTTTACTTTTTAGATACATCTAAATAAGGTGCATTCAGAGAAAATTCTGTATATTTTAGCAATTTTTCAAAGTAAATATATATAATGATTACCGCATGGTTTTGTTCGGTTTCGAGTGGAAAATCTCACTTTTGACGAAGATGAGAAAGTGATGGAAAGCCGAATCCCTGTGCTTTTTTTCCTTACTTTCCACAAACTGTCTACCTCAGCTATAGAAACAGAAAATTTACAAAATCAAAAAAGTTAATAAAAATACTTTTTGATAGAATAATATTTTTTAAAAAAATTATTTCACACACATTATTATTTGAACAAAATTTATTTTTTTTAAAATTAATAAAATTTTCATATAGAAACCTTTTGTAAACTTAGGTGGTTTATTTACGTCGGAATGTTTTTATCCTTATTATTTAACATATTGAATTAGTCAATAATTTTTTTATAAAATAATTAAATAAATAACTCTCAATCTCACTTTTATTTTTTGATTTTGTTTAATCAAATTTCCTTTTTCTTTTTTTAACAAAAACATGCTAAATCATATTTTATTATTGTGATTAAGCTAAAAAAATAGTGTCCCTAAAATTGGTTTACAATCGTTATAAATTTATGTGGAATAAGTTATTTAATTAATTTTACAGGTATAAATTGAACAATAATTTATATCATTTTCCTTACATATCCAATGGTTATATATTAAAAATGTAAATTTATTCTTATTTCAAATTAAGAAAAAAATCATTTTTATAACAGTTGAATAATGTAATGAAATTTCTTTCGCTACAAACTATATAATGGAAAGAATTACAGTATTGACTAAATTATTCTTACAACAGAAAACCATTGTCCATTATACCTAAAACATTTGATGTATTGTGATCCAATGAACTATTTACTTGGTTGATTTCACAATCTAACTTTTTGAAAATCAGATTTTGTGAAGTTTGAGTTGTGATACTAACTCGTTTGTGTCGAAGAAGACGCAATTTTCTCCCTTCCTCCCTGCTTTTATTTACTCTATTTTTCTTGTCTCTTATCACCAATAGTTCCCCTTCTCAACCCCCTTTTCTCCCCTCTCCTATCCCCGTCCACGAACCACATGGGGTTTAAATTCACAAAGTAAATGTTAGAAGGTTTGCAATTTTTGACCTAATTACATAGATAAATTGTAATTTAAGACTCGTTTGGAAACAAATAATTTTAATAATTTTTTAACTTTTTATAAAAAGATGTGTAGAAAAATAGAGAAAGTAATGTGACAATTTATAGTGATTTTTGACTAAAAGTGAAGATTGTCAAACGAGGCCTTAGAGCATCTCCAATGCACTAGGCATATAATACTTGTTAGTTAAAATGCCTAGTGTGATTCACTTTTTTCAATTCCAATGCACTAGGCATATGATTAGGCATTTTGCCTCAACTCATATTCACTAGCTACATGTAGCTAGCCTTCAATGCTAGGCAAAATGTATTCAATCACTAGGATCATTTCCCTCCATCTTTGTTGTTGACGTGGCATTCTATAAAATTAATAATATTTGGATAAATAGCTAAAATAAAGAGCATGGTTGGAGTAAAAACATAAAACAGTCGATAGGCAAAATAAAATATATACTTTATAGTAATATTTAGATAGGTAAAATGCCTATTACCGTTGGAGATGCTCTTATTGTCCAAAAAAAATTCAATTTCTCTTTAACTGAAAAGAAATCTTTTCATCGTGAATTCCACTATAATAATTCAAGTCGTTCTTTTTTTTCTCATTCTTAAATACGAATGAATGAGTCGAATGTGCATTTATTACTATTGAGTTGAGCCTTATAATTACCAAGGGGGTGTTTGGGAAGAAAAAAAATAGCTTAGTTTAGGCTAAAAATCACAAAAAGACAAAATAAGTTAAAATAACTAATAAGACAAAATATCACATCAAACTCATAATCATTTTACTTTTTCTCTCACAAATATCACATCCAACCATAAAAAAATCTAATCATCTTCCCAAACACAAAAACTTTAGCCTACTAAAATAGCCAAAAACTAAAATAGCCTACTAAAATAGTCACTTTCCAAACGAGGCCTAAGAAATGTTAGGGATGATGAAATTTTTTTTATGAAAATGATCGTGAAAGATTGTGACCCTTAGCTTACCTTAATTAGTATGTGGTGCTTTATTCTAAGTATAATTCAAAGATCACAAATCTTTCATGATTATTTTTATGAAAGACTTTTCATGAAACTTAGAATTGCTGTAATTACTTTATGTTTAGAAGTGTATAAATAAAAATAAAAAATAAAAATAGTATATATGTAGCGTTGCTAAAAAGCCAAAAGAAATGGCAAAAAATAAAGAAAAAGAAAAAAAATAAAGTGTCAAAGGCTACTTAAAGAAGAAAAGGAAGTCAAGGGCATATGCATGCTTCATCAGCATCGCCGCCACCTTACCTTTCATCGTTGCATGCTGCATGCACCCACGATAGTGCATTTCTGAGTAGGCTATCGGCCTCCTTCATGCTCCTCCTCACACTAACCTATACATATATAATATATATCTACACTACTACACTATTATATATATATATATGCACAAACACACATATCATGTATTCTCATGCAGTAGTGAAACCAAAAGGGACTTACAATGATTGTAAATTATGTGGATTCACCTCCCTCATACTTCGATGCTGGTCTCGACCACACGAGGAACCTCCCCGACGAGTGTTTGTCCTCCATTTTCACCTTCCTCCGCGGCGGTGACAGGAACTGCTGCTCTTTGGTCTGTCGGCGTTGGTTGCTGGTGGAGGGACAATCCCGGCACCGCCTCTCTCTCATTGCTGTAGCCGACTTGTGCTTTTCGGTCCCATCCTTGCTCTCTCGCTTCACTGCCATCACAACCCTAACCCTAAAATGTGACCACAATGTTAGCATCGGAGACGATGCTCTGTCTCTGATCTCACTCCATTGCCTCAACCTCACATCCCTGAGTCTCCGCAATTGCAGAGAAATCACGGAACTAGGCATGGCGGCTTTGGCTCAGAACTGTGCTAGTTTGAAGAAACTCTCGTGTCATTCGTGTTCGTTTGGCGCCAAAGCCATGAACACGGTGTTGAGCAGCTGTGCTCTGGAGAAGTTCTCGGCCAAGCGCCTCCAAGGCATCGATAGCGGGATCGATGCCGAGCCGATCAGACCCGGTGTGGCGGCTTCGTCTCTCAAGAAGATCTGCTTGAAGGGAATTCTCAACGGCCAGTGTTTCAGACCGCTCATCATTGGATCCAAGAAGTTGAAATTGCTCAAACTCCTCTGGTGTTTCGGAGACTGGGACGGCCTTTTGAAATCAATCTCAGACCGATCTTCCATGGTGGAAATCCATCTCAAATGGATTAGAGTTAGCAATATTGGCCTCGCGGCAATTTCAAATTACTCGAATTTGGAAAAGCTGCACATTGCGAGGGCTAAGGGGCTTGAAAACCAGATCGATGACAGAGGCTTAGTGGCGATCGGTGAGCGATGCAAAAAGCTTCGGGAGCTGATTGTTGTCGGTGCTAATCCGACTTGTTTGAGTTTAAAGCTGATTGCTACTAATTGCTGTGATTTGGAGAAAGTGGCGCTGTGTATGAGTGAGACTGTTGGAGACGAAGAATTGCAGTGCATTGCAGCTGAATGCAGGGCCTTGAAGATGCTCTGTATCAAAGACTGTCCCGTGTCAAATCACGGCTTGGAAGCAATTGTGAATGGCTGTCCCAGTCTTGTTAAACTGAAGGTCTCGTGGTGCAGGAATGTGACCAGTGAGGTTGCAGATGTGTTGAGGGCAAAAAGGGGATCATTGGCTTTTGTTCTGGATGCTGTGGAAGCTGAGGATGAAGATTCAAGCTCGTGTGATGAATCTGATGATATTTACCCTGTTCCAATGGCAACCCGACTTGTAGAAATCCCCGGAGGTGAAGACTGAAGCTAGTCATGCAAGCAAAATCAAGAATGCTTAGCTTACTAACATGGAGTCATAGACAATCCTGATCTAGTACCGTCACAAACCGTATCCATTTAATATAAATAAACAAATAAGAGACAGAAGACTCAAGAATGCAAGTGCTCAAATTCAAACTTTAGAACGGATCATCCAAGCATGATGGTTAAAGGATTAATCAAGAAATAGCTCTTATTATTGATAGAAAAGTGCGATTAAATCCACATAGAAGGAGAAAAATCTTCTCCTCTCTGTTGATCAATCACTGATCAGTTTACTAACTGTACTACAACATTCAATCAAAGCAACACTTTGTGCAGTAGAATCCTTGAAAATAATATTTTGAATGCATGAGCAGCTTTTCGAAATAACCAAGCACAGAGATCACAAATGGTTTAACTTGAAACATAGAAATACTCAATTCAAATGACGGTAGTGCTTGACGGTTACATTGCGCCCAACATTCAATATAAAGAGGCCTTATTATCAAAATTAACAAAATAGGACCAGGCCAAAAGGGCAAATACAACCACCAATGATGGAACCGTGTTACAAAAATATATTGATAATACAATATATTGACAATTTTCACCTAAAATTTGCATAAAAAAATTGCATAAGCAGCATTAAAACTTTGATAATAGAGAAGATACAAAGCCATGATCACAAAACCTACAACTGACAACTATCAGTAAATAGCAAACTCTAGTTTCTTCACTTCGGATGTACAGGAGCTTTTTTGTATCAATATGGGGGTGGGCGATAGATTCCAGGGTACGGTCCTGATTAAAAAAGGATTTAAAAACTCAGTGAATTACAACACAGTGGATAGTAAAAGAGGTATGGAGCAGGAAGAAGCGTTACCTGGAGGATAATATTGTGAGGCCTGTGGGGGTGGTGGATATGCTTGTGGGGGATATGCTGAAGGTGGTGGGTATGATGAAGGATAAGCAGAAAGCTGAGGGGGAGGGTATGGAGATGGTGGATAAGCTTCTGAATGAGTTGGGTATGAAGTGTACAGTGACGGTGCAGGGTACGAACCGGCTGGCGGCGGATAACAAGCTGCAGATGGTGGTGGCATAGAGTACATAAGGGTTTGGGCGGCAGGTGGCGCTACATACGGTGGAATAGATGGAGCATAGTTTGTTGCTGGCTTCTGCAATAACATAACAATGCCAATGTCAACAGACTACAATATATATACATATTAATGTTGGAATTCATGACAAATTCTTAACTGGGTAAGAGCGCTTTTTACATAATTTACAAAGCAATAAAGTATAGAACATGGAGCTTACATTGGCACTAGAATAATGCAGTATGAGTCGAACTTCTCCTGCATGCCTGTGAAGAGGTTAGAAAGTCTGAAAATGTTAATGTTCATCTAGAAGGCATTTGTCACAATCTTTATGAACCAATCAACTTATACATTAATAAACAACAGGCTACATTTCACAACAGGAGGAAATCAAAATGAATATTACAGAATTTTTGGTTTAATTGATAATTTGAATAGAGTTATTGCCATGACATTAGTTAGCAATTTAGAATGCAATTGGGTTTAATGTCACCAACTCTTGAATCAGAGAAGAATATTTTAATATCATTCAGATAAGCACAGCATGCTTGGGTGTTATGGAAGTGATAGTAAATTAAGTATACCAGTCATCTTCTCCCTTTCCTCAAATAAAAGATGGAAAATCGAAGCTAGGGATATGGATCACAAAATTTCCAAACCCGTCTCCCTGTGCAGACAGATGCCTTCACCAACTAGGAGGGAAGGCCTTTCTTCTACTTTTACTGGCAATATCTATTTGACTTTTCAATCTTCTTATTTAACAATATTTAGCATTTATATCTGGTTACTGTCCTTCATGCAGCATTAAGTGTAACAGTATTCACATTGGCTTCACCTCCCACCTCCAATTTGAAATTCTAGGCAGCTGGTTTACAGACTTAAAAGCTTATCATTGGATCCTAAGTTATTTGGTTCAAACTTGCAATGTTTTTCATGTGCGTCTAAGTGATGAACATGTGTTTATCTCGAAGTGTCCAAATCCAAAACATTTTAAAGAAATAATAAGACACGCTTGGAACTGTGTCCAACACGTTTCAGAAAGTGTCCAAGAAGTGTTTTATGTCTGATGTGTCTGACAAGGGCAGACCACCCTCTTAGAAGTGTACATGCTTTGTTGCACAAAACTAAAGGATGAAGAAGACCCAAAAAGAAAATTTAATAGTCCATAAACTCGCCAGCCATGGACCTTCGGAAGAAACCATTGTTAATTCTGTATCCCATCCTCTATCCAAGCCCTTGAAAACCAAACTCTCCTTCTTAGAGACCTTGGAAAAGAATTTTTTGATAAATGGAATTGCATGTTTGTCATTGAAAAGTATCCTACAATCTTTCATGTTAGTGGTGGTAACAGAGCACCTCACATGGTTACGAACACAGAAAAAGTTGAAAGATTGTAGCTGAAATAGTTGACGCCAAAAGGAGATGAAACCTTTACCTAGGAAAATTGTTAATGATGTCAATTGATTGTTGGCTTCAGCTGGAAACTGCTGAATTTGTTCAATCAACAATAGGTTTACCTTGTGACTTCAAGAAGTCTTTGATTCCCAAAAACACAAAATACCTTTTTGTGAAAGAAGTTAATGGGAGAGCTCATCTTCAGTTGGGAAATTGGTGAAGCCTAAACTGTTGGACAGAAGGAATGAGAATGATGACCTACTCTTCTCATCATTCTATTTTTATTTTGCGAAAAACATGTTTCTTGGGGAATCAATGGCTGGTAAATTTCTATTGTTTTGCCTTTATTGCTAGGATATGGTCGATTGGAAGTTTGATGGTGGCAAAAAAAAGAAATGGTCATCACAATCAAGTCTATCAGGTTCGACAAATCCTACTTGGAAGGGATCTTCTACACGATCGAGCTCAATTTTTCCCGAATGGATTGTAAGATTGGGATAGGGATTTTAAGAACCATGCAATCAAGTGCTTGTATTTAAAAGTTCTTCAAACAATCTTGACTGCCTCTATACGATTGTCAATCACAGTTCTATTTTGGTCCCTCAATCTCTCCTTCCATGGCCTTCGCTATGTTTCTCAATCCCTCTCTTTCTCTCTCCTCCTATGATTATTTTTCCCTATATTCCCTTTAATACCCTTTATTACAGCCCATGTGCCCCTTGTGTAAGCATTTTCCAAATCATTTTTGCAAAGAAAACTGAGAGAAGTACAACATTGAAATTTGCCATAAAGTACAAGGCCAACATTGCTGCAATTAAAACATGGACCAAAAGTGAAATTTGGATGAAAGTTGGGAGGATGAAAAATCTGATCTTCCCTATTTCTATCTATTTGCATAAAGAGAAAATATAATGAACCACTAGGATTTTAGGGAGACAGGAAGAATATAAAAGGAAATTTCAGATTTAACGTTTTACCCTGAAGAACACTAATATGGAATGGAATTTCCAATTCCACATATTAGCCTGAAGAAGAAGGTTGAAAAATGGAGGTGGGGGAGAAGAAGAGCTGTAATAAGTTTTTCATATATATATATATATATTATGGACAAATAAATCTATTTAAAGCAATAAAACATTTCCGGTATCCTATTTCTTGTTAAGAAGGTAAGGTGAAAAAAAAGAAGAAGAAGAAGAAGAAAAAAAAAGTCACTCCTAGCCGCTAGGGATGTGAATTATGGAAGTAAAGCTTCGCACAGTTAGGATCAGGCTTAGAAAAGAGAATGAGTCAAATCTTCTCTTATCCAGGAAAGCTGAGACTCTCGTCAATTCATACAGATTTGATGATAACAAAGTATAACATTGACTTTTAAGAAACAATTCAAAAAAGCCATGCATTATAAATCAGAAATTCACAAAACAAAATCCTACACATAAACATGCTGCAATCAATTCAAATTCCATATATTACAAGTTTTGCAACACACTAGTTGAAATCCAACATATAAATGCGCTTCAAAAGGCTAATTGGTGTTGTAGCATGTCCCTTTTGTACACAAATATGGAATACAAATACATATATCTACACTACTACAGCCTACAAAGCATATTTACATTGAATTCATAATAATGAAGCAGCTAGTTGATCATTTTTACCTCCCAGTTTTAGTCTGTAGCGGCCAAGAACTATCGTCGTATCCCTCTGAAAGAACCTTTTGCAATTGAATTCTGCATATTGAAACACAATTTGAGATCCAAACATAGCAAGAATGTCAATAATTTAATTTTTTTTTTAAAAAAAGAAAAAAAAAAACAATGACATACTTTCCGCTGCCAATGAAATCGTCGAAAGTGACGGTATTGCTATTCCAAACAACAGTATTCAATTCTCGGAGGCCTTCAATAAGCGTGAATGTGAATTTCTCCTGGAAAGTAGGGTTTTTGCCTCCGTCTACATTTTGAGAAACAAATTCAAATTGAATATTTGTCAAACCAAACCAAATCCAAATTTCAATATAAAAAATAAAAAAATAAAAAAATAAAAAAAAACAGAGATGGATCTGAAATCGACCTGTGCAAGTGCGGGTACGGTACTTGGTGCTAGCGTATTCGAGGCAAACGTAGGGATCTTGCCTCGAAATCCATTCAGTGTCCTTCAATTTGTTGCAACCAACAACTATACAAATCATATATACATATAATCATTAACAACAAGAACAACTGAAGAAGATAACATGATCATGATGAAGATGAAGATGATGATGAGAGAGAGAGAGAGAGAGGTACCTGTGACTTCGAGGAGACGGCCCTGAATACCAGTGATCGACATGGAAGGGGAAGCAGAGGATGGAGGAGAAAATGGGTACATTATATGGCTCTCTATATCTTCCTAAAAGCCCCTTTATAAGCACACAAAGATTATAATTTATGATATATCTTCCAAATTTCCTTTTGATTTCTTGTAACCTCCATTAACGCGTCGTTGACGAGCACTCCTCCTTCGTCGTTGCCGTTGTCGTTGTCTTCTTCGCTTTTCTGAAAACAGTTCGGAGATGTTTCTTCTTCGCGTTATCTCACGTCTACTTTTGTCCTAATCTGGGTATGATATTTGTTTAAAATATAAAGGGCAAATTACATATACCTTGAGATTTGGCTAAATTATAAATACTTTCTTGAGATTTGAGAAATTATAAATTTCTCCCTGAATGTTATTTTTGTATAACAAATTAGAGAGTAATTTGTTATGAAATTTAAATCTCAGGGGATAAATTGTTATGAAAATACAAACTTCAGGGGGCGGGATGTAATTTCCGAAACTTCAGGGGTATCTGTAATTTAGCCAAACCTCAAGGGAGGTATATGTAATTTGCCCAAATATAAATTATTTTTTATAATTTAAAATTTAAATTACATTTTACAGTTTATAATTTTATAATAAATGATTCTTTTTATTAATAAATTATTAAATTAATAAATTATTTTTAATGATGACATGTGTAAGTCCATAAAGGCCATGAATCACCTATGGCCCATCACTTAAAGCCCAGTGCATAACCCAGCTGACGAGATCCAGGACAGTTGGAGTCCAACATGACATAAAGAGTCAATGACATTCAGACACACAGCAAGAGAAGGACGAACCACATCAGCAGACAAAGATCTACAAAGTTATTGCCACTGCACATCACCATTAATGCAGCCCATCACAGCATTTGTTACGACAACACCTCTCCGCCGGAACAGGACCCCCTTACCCTGAGCAAGGTAAGCCACAGCATAGGCTTTCGGCAAGGAGAGCAGGTCGGAAGAGATAGCGAAATGATTGCCAAAGGATATAAGCGAATGTTATAAACAAGAAAAAGGTTAAGCTTTCTATCTCTAATCTTCTCCCATATACTCTACTTCTTTTCCTAACTTGATCGTCGGAGGGTTCACTGGGGGACTACCCCGTTCCCCGTTGAACTTGTTTGCAGGGTATCCGGTGGGCTCGATCATTTGGGCTTGGGCTTGAGGAGCTTGGACCAGTTCGCTCCATTCACTAGGGATAAACTGTATCAACAGTTGGCGCCGTCTGTGGGAACGCTTTGCTCCTCGCGCCAGTTGTGTTCACTGTCGCCGGAGGCCCCGTTCCAACAACCTTTTTCTCCTACCCGTCAAAGTGCATGGTCACAACTAGATCCATATAGAGGACAATTCATATTTCAAGTTAATCTTAAAAATGTATTTATAATTTATTTATATTATTATTATATTAATATTATGAAAAGGAAATTTATTAGTTTATACTTTTCGATACCACGTGACATTGGCTCTGTTTAGTAGGGTTTATTCTCAGTTTATTTTAACTTTTAATTTAATTTAAGCTATTTTGATGTGTTTGGTTCAGCTTAACAATACAGCTTATAGTTCTTTGTAAGTCAAAAATCAACTTATTCTTTGAGTGGGGCAGGAGAAGCTTAATTTATAAGTCAAAAATCAATTTATGTTCACAGCTATAAGCTATAAGCTGTTAGGCTATAAATTATAATCACTTTCCCACAGTTCTACCAAACGGTTTAACAATACAGCTTATAGTTCTTTGTAAGTCAAAAATCAACTTTTTCTTTGAGTGGGGCAGGAGAAGCTTAATTTATAAGTCAAAAATCAATTTATGTTCACACCTATAAGCTATAAGCTGTTAGGCTATAAATTATAATCACTTTCCCACAGCTCTACCAAATGGGGCCATTATGTTTTCATGGTCTTCTTTTTGATTGGGTATTTTTTATTGGTGGCATTATGTGTAGCAATTAATGTATATATTAGTATATCAATCACTATCATATTATTAATATTAATTTCACCTATGATATAAATTATAAAAACTCAAAACCTCTAATGCTGTGTTTGGTTGAGAGATTTAAAAAGGGATTTAGAAAAGGAAATAGAAAATGTAGGTGAAATGTGAATAAAACATATTTATATTTCACCTAGTTTCACACATCTTTTCTCTTTCCCATTTCAAATCACTCCCCAAATCCTTCAACCAAATACAGTGTAAAAGAATAATGTTATATGGACTAATTAGTGTATTAATTAATATACCCATTGATTATGTGGCATAATTTAAGAGATTTTTAGTATTGTCAGAACTAGTGTTGGTATACTAATTGGTGTATGTAATACCACTGCCTTTAAAATTACATCACATCATCTGTTAGTATATTAGTTAGTACATTAATTGATACATATAGTATTATTCATTTTTTAGTTTTTAATTACTTTATTGTGTGGGTCATTTGTAATTAATTTAATTTGTATGGAAATGATTCTTCTGGCAATTACATATTGTAAAAAGAAAATGTTAATAAAAATAATTTTCTAAATTATTGTTAGAAAATGTGTAAAATTGCATTAAATATATATACGAAATATAGAAAAATTTATCTATAAATCTCATCTTTGAGGAATGGTAATCCATTTAATTCTAAGAGTTTTCTTATAGACCAATTAGTCCTATTGATTTTAGAAATGTAGATTTAATATATTATTTGAAAATTAGATTTATGATTATACCCTTGTTTCTATCACGTTCCTTCTCTTTTTTCTTTTATGCTAGAAAAGTAAGGTAAACAATATATGATAATCAAATTTGGGATAAATTTTTATTTGAAAAATATTTTAAAAGGAATACAAAAATGATTTAAAATATAAAATTCTTTAAATATTCTAAAAGAATATAGGATTTTTCAAACATTTCAAAAGGAGTACAAAAATTACTTGGTAAATTTTGGCCAAATATATAACTTCAAATTATAATACTCCAACGTAACTCTCCATTGTAACACTCAAAAAAAAAATCTTAATATAATACCCTAACGTAACACATAAAAAAACTCATTACTGTACTTTTTTCAAATGTAACACTTTTGGGAATCTAGGTTCCAAATTTTTTTCTCATTTTTTTCACTAAAAGACAAACTTTTTACAAAACCAAAAAAAACACATCCAAACAAAATATCACATCCAACCTCATAATCATTTCACTTTTTCTCTCACAAACATCACATCCAACCACATAAAAACCCAACTATCTTCCCAAACACCAAAATTTTTTTATCCAATAAAAACCTACAACTAAAAAAACTACATAAAAACCAACTTCCCAAACACCATAAAAAAACTTCTTAGTGTAACACTTTAATGTAACACACAAAAAAAATTACTTGGTGTAACACTCTAATGTAACACAAAAAAATTCTTAGCATATTTTTCTCAAACGTAACACACACAAAAATTCTTTAGTGTAATACTCTAATATAACACAAAAAAACACTTCTTCGTGTATTTTTCCAAATATAACACTCTAATATAATAATCTAAAAAAACTTTTTAGTATTCTTTTTCCAAACGTAACACTTCAATATAATACTCTAAAAAAATTCATTAGTGTGACACTTTAATGTAACACAGCAAAAAAAAAAAAAAAAAAAAACATATTGGTGTATTGTTTTCCACAACTAACGCTCTAATGTAAACGAAAAAAAAAAAAAAGAAAAGTTTCTTGACTGTAAGGTTGTTGTCTAAACATAGACACTCTAATGCAACACTAAAAAAAAAAAAAATGTTAGATTCTTCAAACCATTTCAAAAGGAATACAAATATTCCTTAGTAATTTTTGGACAAATATATAATTTTAAACTGTGAGTGTTACGTTTGAAAAAAAGTACATGTGTTGTTACATTGAAATGTTACGTTTAAGAAAAGTACACTAAAAAATTTTTTTGTGCTAAATTAGAGAATTACATTTAGGAAAAGTACACCAAAAAATTTTTTTTGAGTGTTACGTTGTTACATTTGGAAAAAGTACACTAATGAGTTTTTTAGTGTGTTACATTGAAGTGTTATGTTATTGGAGTGTTACATTGTTAGTTTTTTGTTCGTAATGTGCGATTTGTTTTAGAATGAAGAAAAATTCAAAATTTCTATAGTGCAAATTGTTTAAATGTGTAATTTTATATTTTGAGAAACCCACTTTTATGCTTAAAAAATTAAATCCAAACATGTAAATTACTACATTTTATGTAATTTCTACTTTAATAGGACGTTTGGGTTCATAAGAAAAAAATGAATGATTAAGCAGTTCATAAGATCACATTTTGACATTTATTGATACTTCACCCTTAATTAATAATAAAAATTCATAACCATTGCCATTTTATCTTCAATTCATAAACAAACACCTCCAAATGCAATCAAAATTAATTTAGATTATAATGAAAACAAAAACTACAAAAATCTCATAATCAACTAGTTCACTACAAAATCTGATAATAAAGATTCTCACTATAAATTAGACCATCACAAAATCTCATTACTAAACATCACATAATTCATAATTAAACATAAAAGGAGTATTACATAAAATTTTAAGATTGTAAACATAAAATTGCGTGTAAAAAAGTCATGTTATACGAATATATAAAAAAAAGAAATTAAAATAATAAATAAATATAAAAAAAAAAAAAAAAAAACCCTACCTAGAAAGGTAGTGGTAAGGTCTCATTGCTTTGAAGTAATTGCTCATTTAAAAAATACCATTTGAGAGCATGAAAAAAAATAAAATATTATGCGAAGTTGCATTGAAACATTCACTGTTTTGTTATGTAAACATAAAATGGGAAAGATATGTCCATTACAATATAATCTTTCCAACCACTTGGAATTAATCAAACAAATCTAGTTGAATTGTCATAACCACAATCTTTTTATGCAAATAATAGTTTTCAACCACACTTGATTTTTTTTATATAATAAAAATGAATGGAATAAACAAGTCATTGGCAAGTGGGGGACTATAAACTTCTTACAGATCATTTATGTACAGATCTTTTGTGTGTCTAAACCATCACTGTAAACCCCCCCTTGGTTCATTCACTTTCATAGTCTTCGTCATCCCCGAATGAGAAAACAGATGCATCAGCAGCCATTGCCTTGAAATCACTTACCTCTCCTACTGGATTTGGGACCTCGAGACCTGACACGGTTCCCACAACAGCATCTTTTCTTGGCGGACTTGTAGGATGGCTTTGCATAGAGCTTGTTTTCCCAAGAGAAACTTGCTCAGTCTGGCGAGTCAAACTTGCTATTTGGCTTGTATTACTAGTTTCAGAATTAGAGGCTTTCGTATTGACAGTAGCTTCAGAAGCCGCCTTAGATGGCCTGCTTTTTGAAGACCCTGATTCTTCGGACTCGCTGTCGGAGAACACGTCATCCTTCTCATTGCTTTCCAGGTCTTTCTTGGGGTTTGCAGTGGCGGCATCAACAGTTACTGGGGTTGGGGTTGGGGTTGGGGTTGGAGAGGCACCCAAACTTTCAACTGATTTGTCAGTAGTAACTTCGGTTTGAGGCCTCGTTGGAACTGTCCCGTTATAGTCCACAAGCACAACCTCAACTTGAAATCCGGGAGATGGCAATTTTCTCTGCACAAAGTCCAGACCAGAAAATATAGATTAAATTCATGACACCATTCAAGAAAGTGACTCCAGTTTAATTTTTCTTCCAAATCTTTTGCAACTTCTAAAGGTATTCCAAGGAGGACCATCCATTTTATCATATTCAACGAATTAAAATGTGATGTTACCTTGTCAAACCCATCAAGATCACCCGTGTTCAGAATTTTTCTGTTCTCGACCATTGTTGTGTTTAACCAACTGCAGAGTCAAGTAAAGCAATACATTATACAATCTATAAGGCAACACATTATACAATCAACAGTTGCCGTGTTTAACCAACTGTCCCATTAAAGCAATACATTATACAATCAATAAAGCATAATCGAATATGTTTGCGACTGTAGAGAGTTTATTTCTTTGTTTTGGGAGTTCGGGTGAGGGCAGAAGAGAGGTTCTTCTAGGTGGCATACCAGTAAAAATCTCCTTGGCGATCGTGAAAATGTATTTTGAAATCGCCAGCCAACTCTGTAAGACCAGGCTCCCCAGGTAGAGCAAAAACCATGATCCCTTTTTTTGGGGCACTAAACCAAAAATCTTCAGGCTGCGTACATATGAAGGTGTGAAAAAATAAACGCATGGAAAGTTCAGAATATATTAGAGCAAAGACATTACAATTCTAAAAGACAGACTTGGTTGCTACCAAATTAGCAAATAGACCTACCAACAGATCCTTGGTTCTAGGATGCTTCTTTGTGGAGAAGAGAACACCTGCGAGTCAGAAAATGATCACCAATAGATAGACTCTTAACATATACATACATCTCTAGATTGTTGAAGCACAATTGCAGTTTATGAGCTTTGCAAAGCATTAAGATTTGCAATCTCAAATAGAATATTACTGATTGTTGCAATCATATCAGGAACACTATTGGTTCAGTCACTAAAAATCAAGCTAATACAAGAGTGACTAAAAAAGCATACACGGGCCATTCTAGTGCGAAAATCAAGATGTAGCACCGTAGTAATCACAGCAATTGAAAAAAAATCAGTCACACCAATGTTTTCAAGGTCAACCCCCATTTGCACATTTGATACAATATTAGTTCACATTCTGAAATTCATATATATTATTTGACAAATGAAAAGTTAAACACAACTTAAATTCGATCTTTCACCCAACTGCATAGTTAGAACACACATTTTTGTTCCAAGATGCAGGGAAATAATAACCAACTCACAGGCCTTCCTTGTAAATTTTATTGAAGAAATGGATTAGTTAACCCATAATAAGAAGATCACGAAAAAGAATAAGGAAAAAATTAAGCTTGCTTTCCAGATGGATCATCTCCACCATGCACTTCGAATAATGAGGATTAGTATGAGAAATTATTACAAGGTTAAGGATAAGTCAGTGAAAAAATATATGCACATGCAATGCAGTCATATTTAGCAGCAATTCAGAGGGCATTGACAAAGAATAATCTTAACATAATAAAAATCATAAACCAACATAAAAACTAGCATGGAGCATCATCAGATGCAAGAACACTCTGACAGAAAGAGGCATACCATTATGATCAGACACAGTAATGGAGGGCCTAATCCAATAAGGGCACCGGTGAAGCCGAAACCCCCTAAGCATGCATCTGCACAAAGTGTGACGTAAAACAAGTCAAAAAAGTGGTACATTCCAACCAGGGATTGGCTACAAAAGTCAATTAGGACCTGATCCTGTGATGGAAGAGAACCCCCAAGAATGAGATTTTAATTTTTTACAGGGTTCAGGTTCACGAGGCAAGAAATTTTTCATACTGACAAGAAAAGACGTGTAGAAATATACCTTCGCCCAGGCTGGTTTTCTCCATTGAAGTATGTTAGGACTCGTTCGAAATATTTGACATACCTCTATGAAAGCAGAGGAAAAAATTAAGCTGAATGAGATAAGATGTAAGGAAGCTCATTGAAAAAAAATAAAATGCTGCTTCTAAGCAGATCATATAAAGTAAAAAGACTGACAATCTGACTTGGAAGCACAAGCCCCTTTCCATCAATACATCTTTTCTGGTTGTAGTAATCAATGGACTCCTCAGCTGTGGGAAAGAACTGCAAAGAGATGCAAATGTAGTAATGCAATCAGAAAATTGAGAAATGGAATGGAAAGACGCAAGAACATTTTCCAATACACCCATTGCCCACGTCTCATACAACATTGTAATAATCGCACCTTCAAATATAGTAGGAGGCTAGAAATCATTAACCCTGTCCTTGCCATTCCAGCCTTACAATGCACAACCACAACATTTTCAATATCCTCCTTCAACCATGAGTATGCACTATGACAAAATGATATTATGAGTTGAATAGGAGGACAGTTGTGGTCATCAAATGGAAAACTAGCCACCTGCAGAAACAGTAAGATATATCAAATATAGAAGTCATCATGAAACTCTTAGTATTCCAAGGCAATAAGCAGCTCAAAGCTAGTCAAATAACAGAATAAGTGATCTATAAGTAAATCCACAACTAGCAATCATAAAGATAAGATGCAACAAAATTTGGTATTTTCTCAAGCATATCTTAGCAGTCAAAATCATTAACGCATAACTAAAAAATATATACGCACATCCCCAGCTTAGGCCTTCAGTTCAATTAACATTAAATAGAGAAATATAACACACCTTTCCTTCAAATAGTGATGCATCATACAACCTCTCAGAACAAAGGTTGTAAACTTTATATTTATCCTGCATACAGAAGGCAAAACCAGAGTAAAACACACTTATTCTGATACACACTGATAAATGTAACCACTAATAACAGTATTAGATAATTATCCATTTTTCTTTTCTTCTCCGCCTTCTTCTTCTTTTCTTTTTTTTGGCAAGTGAATCTGTATATAGAATTCAACTGAAAAGAGAGGTAGAGAATACGAAGCAGGCATTTATTAGACTTGATATGATCCAATCAAACTATGACATTAACAACTATGCACACATTAAGAATCCGGCAAAAATTGATCAAGTTCAGATCAGAGTCCAATCCTGCCACCATAGGAGGCCATTAATAGGTCTCATAAAGCACGAATGAGAACACATCAGGACAAGACAGCCGACGATGCACAGAAAAATCCGAAGTGAGTGGGATGACTGTATCATTGATTGGTTTCAATACCACCAAGAATAAAGACCCAAATTAAATGTAACATAATGCAAGGGGTATGGATATCTTTATCATTTTTTTTTAAAGTAACGACCAAAACTTTAGCAATACAAATTCAAACATGATTACTGCCCAAGGGGATTGCAGATATGATAAGTTGTTCTGGTTGTTCTGACCATCCTCTCTCACCAATCAAAACTTAAATTATTCAAGATGACTATCATGACATGCAAATTGATCATGGAATTACAAATGCACTAGACAAGCACAAGTAAACAGCCACTGTTGTCTAGAAATAAGAAGAAAATACTTGACATGGCCTCAGCAAGCAAACTAGAAATGAATAACCATAAAGCTCGCCTTTAAGCAGCAAAATTTGAACATGTACTGCTAAAAAAAATAATAAATTTGAATGTGTGCCTGAAGCTCTCTGTACGGAGCAATCTTCGGAAAAGTCTATGATATTCCAAAACAGTTGAACACCAGAAGTGGGTTCTTGGTACCATCATATTTGACATCAAACATTTCAAGATGACAGTTGCTATAAAATTGAAGATGCAATATTTTTGTACTAGCATTATAATGCTTATACACTCAGCTTTGTATGTATAAGTAGTAACAATGGATGTCATTACCTTGTGTTGGGTTTCAAAGAACTTGATCACTTCTTCCATGTGGTTTCGGTATAGACCCTGCATCAAAATTTTCAAATAGTCTTAAATGTTATTATTATAAGTGAAGTATGATTAGTAAAATTTGCCTGCAAAAACTGTAGTTTGCTTACCTCAACATATCCAAAAAAGCCAGAGCTCATATCACCAGCAGGGAACCCCATAGCAATTATATTTTCTGTGATGTATGTCATATCTAAATCAAACCCTCCTTCCTAAAAAAAGGCAAAAATTAAGTTTTCCAATATCAATATATAATTTGGTCTCTAATTAGAAATAATCATGATGTAAAATAGCAAACAAGCAACTATTCAGGGGAATTTTTTTTTTTAAAAAAAAACTAAAAAATAAAAAAGTCAAGCAAGACTGAGAAAACATTTTCTTCCATACAAACTATTAGAAAGCATCTGTTCTTTGCAGACATGTGTCAAGGATTCTATGTCATTCAACTACCTGATATCTACGTTTGTTCTGGGAGACAACATGTCGAGCCTTGACCTGCACAGCCTTCACAGCACTCTTAGATGAGTCAACTAACCCTTTAGTGAGGGTTCCAATAAAACCAGGTTGTGCTGTTGTTGAAGTTGCATTGGAATTAAAATCTGGTTGAGAAGTTTTAGGGGACAATCGCAATCCTAACCCACCAGTGAAACGAGCAAAGGTTGATTTTCCGGAACTTCCTGATGGTGATTCATCTTGTGTGACCACCAATGGCTGGGGAATTTTCAAACTTTTGGCCCATGAGGATATGCCAGAAGCAGACAGCCTAGATGATGCATCACGCGGAGAATTATCTGGTCCCGAACCTGCAGTAGTGGAAGCTTGTACATCTGGAGTTTTAACATGTTGCAGAGTTGATGAATCAGCAGATCCCAAATCCATTATGTTCTCCGGAGATCTCAACAGCAGCCAATGACAAAGTACTTAACCCAAGATATGAGATGTTACTAGTTTATCCCGTAATCACAACTACACAAAAATAAATAATAAATAAATAACCAAAAAAATAAGAGAGTGGGGGAATTAAAAGAAAAAAAGAAAAAAAGAAAGGGTTAATACATAAAGAAACACTTCTAAACTTTGGTAAAAGAAGTTTTGAACAACATAACAACAATTAACAATCAACAAAGCCCTAAAAAGGGAGTATAAAGACAAACAGTCACAATGTTCAAAGATAAGCATAATATCGATTGACAATAAAATGTATGACATGCTATAAGCCCAGATATTGGGATATTTCTAAACTAGAGTACCTGCTTTTCCATGGTAGTTCAATAAACAGATTTATCAACAGGAATACATGTCAGAGAAGGTCTTTATACATAAATGAAATGAAAGAGTAATAGTTCCATAAAATCACACAGAAGCTACTACAGTATTAGGATGACCATTGACGTGAATTACAGATAAGAAAACTGCCAACAAACAATCAATACCAAAGCACTTACAACCTCAGCAGTTACTCTCTTTTTTTACCTGTAAAAGCTAAACTCAGCAATATAGGACACTGCACTACTAGTTCTCTGCAGCAGGAGTAATTATCATGTATTCCCGATTCCCGAAACATCAAGTTGATTATGTGCCCGTTCAATAACAAAGGGTTATGTGCTTACATGGTCTAAAAAATAGTAATAAAGTGCACAAATCACAAAGCACCATTGGTTGGGCACAAGGTTCTGAAAAGCGGTTGCGGTCGCCGTAACGGTAGCGGTGGAGCGGTGGCGCGGTTGCGGGGTGTAAAGGCCATAGCGTAACGGTTGCGGTAACCGGAACCGTGAATTATTTTTATTTTTTGCACAATTTGAAAAAAACTTACCGATACGCATATTTTTTTCCATGATCATATTTATTGGGTTTAAAATAAATATTGATCAATTTTTGTAAATTTTTTAAGTATGATCCAATATATTTCATAGTTTTAAATCACTATAAACTGAGTTTTTTACATTTTATTTTAATAATTGATGACTTTATATTATACAAAAAATCAATCATTAACTATTATATATAAGATAAACAATGACAAAAATAAGAAAATAAATAAGAGCCTAAATATATATATATATATACATATACATATTTTAACCAAGCCAAATAGATAATGACCACACTTATTATTATTATTATTATTTTCAAACAATATATAGATACAGCTTCAACAAATCAATAACATGTTTTTCATCTTCTCTCTCTATCTCTTGCTCCTCTATCTTCTCTCTTTATCTTCCCTCTTCTCTCTATCCCTCTTCCTTCATTTAGTTTTTTTTTTTTTTTTGAAAGAAGTAGTTCGAAACTCTTACGTAACGGTGCATAACAGGCCGTTACGACTGTTACGGTGCCGTTACGACTGTTACGGCGCCGTTACGACCACTATGGCAGCCGTTACGACCGACACACCTGTGAATCTCAATCACACTACAAAAGCGGCTGTGACGGGTAGCGGTAATCACCATAACCGTTACGTAACGGTTGCGGCCGCTTTTTAAAACCTTGGTTGGGCACATAGCCATGTGGTATTCTTAGGCCATTTAATAATTTCTGCTGCAGCAGTGAGTGATCTTAAATTGTGTTATCTAAACTCTAGTAGTACCTCCAGGCACACAAATAATGGCAAAGTTGCTAACTTTTACGAGGATTTCTAACTCAACAGGATGAATCCAAAAACACAATGATGAATTATAATTTGCATATGTAAATGACGTACAATATAGAGTCAATCGGTTCGAGGCCTGTAAAACGTGATGAAGCCTAGAAGCTGACTGAAGAAATAAACACTTAAATAATTCAGTAGCTATGCTCTGACAATCAGTCAGATGACCTCACAAAAAGTGACACCAAAATTTCATCATCTCAACAAGCATAAAGAACTTGACATTAGACCCAAAATCACTTTTTCAGCCAACATTCAACACCTACCAGCAGCCCATAGTGAAAGCATACTCAGAGAATATTAAATGGATTCAAACATACTCCAAAAAACATCAACATGACGTCCAAAGTCCAATTCATCCAATCATATAACTACAAGATTTTCTGACCCTGAATGCAGTACCCTTCTAAACCATACTATTGAAAAAATTCACACAAGTCAAATAATGACAATATTATATCATCTCAATCAAACAAAGAAAGGAAATTTATTTGAATCTAACTACAATTTCCAGCACAAGCTATGTATTGCGCTGGAATTGGTGCAGTAGTAGCTAGCTAGTAAGAAAACTTATTGATTGGGCGAACCAGACAAATGAGCCCTAATCCACAGATTCAAACCGTTGAATCTACTGATTCCACTAATTTCCACTTCCGATCTCCAATCTCTAACGATTTCGCAAAGTTTCTACAACACAAGCTTACAAGCCTATACATACAAACATAGATATGTATATGCATGTATTAGATACAATGATGTCTGCTATTCACCAAGCAGAGCTTGAATTTACCTGAAATTAGAGGCGGCGGAGACGGCGGAGCTAGGTGGCGGATGTGGTGATTCCGGATGGTTTTTGGTCTCGTTGGTATCGTCGTCTTCGTCCTCCTCCTTCTCCTCCTCCTCCTTCTCTATCTGTGTCGTGTGTGCTCTATGCAAATGAAGCGACAGGTCAAACAAACCCTTGATCCAATTCTGAATTTTACTGTACTTCGATTTAACAGCCCCCATTCTCTTCTTTATTTGTAAGTGGACCCTCGTGTTATATTATAATTATTGATTGTAAGAGCCCTATCTCTTCTTTATTTCTAAGTGGGCCGTCGTCTTATATTTAATTGAATTAGACCGCTAAAATTTTTAATTAGTAAGGCCTCGTTTGGGAACAAGTTACTTTAATAATTTTTTGACTATTTTGGTAAAATATGAGTTAAAAAAAATTAGTATGTTTGGATGACTTTTTAACTTTTTACGAAAAGATGTGCAAAAAAGTAGAGAGAAAAGAGAATCTTTGACTTTTTGGTATAGATTGTTGGCTTTTTGACTTTTTTAGTAATTTTTGACTTTTTGACTAAAAGAGTTACTTGCCAAACGAGGCCTAAGGGTGTTTTTGATTGGACGGACGGGATAAGGGGAATTAAAATTCATTGGATTGAATTTTGAGACTGTGAATCTCGCGGACTATTTGGTTGGATCGGATATGTATCCTGTGTTTGTTTTCTCATACGATTAGATATCTGAAAATCACTATTTTTAGTGAATCTAATGTTTGGTTGGACGGATTGGATAGGATAAATGAACAAAAAACTATTTTATCATTTTTCAATTGTTTACTAAGTAACAGGAATATTAAACATATCTTTAATATTTTAATTATTTTTAGTTAGATTAAATAAAAATTTATTTTATTTTATTTTTTACACAATTAAATAAATTTATTTTTAAAAAATTAAATAAATAAAATATCAATAAAAATATATGTTATTTTTTTAATTAAAATTTTAAATAAATTTGTTTTTAAAAATAATAATAATTAAACAATGAAATTAAATAAAACATCTATTAAAATTTAAATAATGAAATTAAATAAAATATAAATAAAATTTTAAAATAAAACATCAATAAAATATCTACTAGTGCGAAAATCAAGATGTAGCACCGTAGTAATCACAGCAATTGAAAAAAAATCAGTCACACCAATGTTTTCAAGGTCAACCCCCATTTGCACATTTGATACAATATTAGTTCACATTCTGAAATTCATATATATTATTTGACAAATGAAAAGTTAAACACAACTTAAATTCGATCTTTCACCCAACTGCATAGTTAGAACACACATTTTTGTTCCAAGATGCAGGGAAATAATAACCAACTCACAGGCCTTCCTTGTAAATTTTATTGAAGAAATGGATTAGTTAACCCATAATAAGAAGATCACGAAAAAGAATAAGGAAAAAATTAAGCTTGCTTTCCAGATGGATCATCTCCACCATGCACTTCGAATAATGAGGATTAGTATGAGAAATTATTACAAGGTTAAGGATAAGTCAGTGAAAAAATATATGCACATGCAATGCAGTCATATTTAGCAGCAATTCAGAGGGCATTGACAAAGAATAATCTTAACATAATAAAAATCATAAACCAACATAAAAACTAGGATGGAGTATCATCAGATGCAAGAACACTCTGACAGAAAGAGGCATACCATTATGATCAGACACAGTAATGGAGGGCCTAATCCAATAAGGGCACCGGTGAAGCCGAAACCCCCTAAGCATGCATCTGCACAAAGTGTGACGTAAAACAAGTCAAAAAAGTGGTACATTCCAACCAGGGATTGGCTACAAAAGTCAATTAGGACCTGATCCTGCGATGGAAGAGAACCCCCAAGAATGAGATTTTAATTTTTTACAGGGTTCAGGTTCACGAGGCAAGAAATTTTTCATACTGACAAGAAAAGACGTGTAGAAATATACCTTCGCCCAGGCTGGCTTTCTCCATTGAAATATTTGACATACCTCTATGAAAGCAGAGGAAAAAATTAAGCTGAATGAGATAAGATGTAAGGAAGCTCATTGAAAAAAAATAAAATGCTGCTTCGCCCAGGTATGATAAGTTGTTCTGACCATCCTCTCTTACCAATCAAAACTTAAATTATTCAAGATGACTATCATGACATGCAAATTGATCATGGAATTACAAATGCACTAGACAAGCACAAGTAAACAGCCACTGTTGTCTAGAAATAAGAAGAAAATACTTGACATGGCCTCAGCAAGCAAACTAGAAATGAATAACCATAAAGCTTGCTTTTAAGCAACAAAATTTGAACATGTACTGCTAAAAAAAAAAAAAAATTTGAATGTGTGCCTGAAGCTCTCTCTACGGAGCAATCTTCGGAAAAGTCTATGATATTCCAAAACAGTTGAACACCAGAAGTGGGTTCTTGGTACCATCATATTTGACATCAAACATTTCAAGATGACAGTTGCTATAAAATTGAAGATACAATATTTTTGTACTAGCATTATAATGCCTATACACTCAGTTTTGTATGTATAAGTAGTAACAATGGATGTCATTACCTTGTGTTGCGTTTCAAAGAACTTGATCACTTCTTCCATGTGGTTTCGGTAGAGGCCCTGCATCAAAATTTTCAAATAGTCTTAAATGTTATTATTATAAGTGAAGTATGATTAGTAAAATTTGCCTGCAAAAACTGTAGTTTGCTTACCTCAACATATCCAAAAAAGCCAGAGCTCATATCACCAGCAGGGAACCCCATAGCAATTATATTTTCTGTGATGTATGTCATATCTAAATCAAATCCTCCTTCCTAAAAAAAGGCAAAAATTAAGTTTTCCAATATCAATATATAATTTGGTCTCTAATTAGAAATAATCATGATGTAAAATAGCAAACAAGCAACTATTCAGGGGAATTTTTTTTTTTAAAAAAAAACTAAAAAATAAAAAAGTCAAGCAAGACTGAGAAAACATTTTCTTCCATACAAACTATTAGAAAGCATCTGTTCTTTGCAGACATGTGTCAAGGATTCTATGTCATTCAACTACCTGATATCTACGTTTGTTCTGGGAGACAACATGTCGAGCCTTGACCTGCACAGCCTTCACAGCACTCTTAGATGAGTCAACTAACCCTTTAGTGAGGGTTCCAATAAAACCAGGTTGTGCTGTTGTTGAAGTTGCATTGAAATTACCATCTGGTTGAGAAGTTTTAGGAGACAATCGCAATCCTAACCCACCAGTGAAACGAGCAAAGGTTGATTTTCCGGAACTTCCTGATGGTGATTCATCTTGTGTGACCACCAATGGCTGGGGAATTTTCAAACTTTTGGCCCATGAGGATATGCCAGAAGCAGACAGCCTAGATGATGCATCACGCGGAGAATTATCTGGTCCCGAACCTGCAGTAGTGGAAGCTTGTACATCTGGAGTTTTAACATGTTGCAGAGTTGATGAATCAGCAGATCCCAAATCCATTATGTTCTCCGGAGATCTCAACAGCAGCCAATGACAAAGTACTTAACCCAAGATATGAGATGTTACTAGTTTATCCCGTAATCACAACTACACAAAAATAAATAATAAATAATAAATAAATAACCAAAAAAATAAGAGAGTGGGGGAATTAAAAAAAAAAAGAAAAAAAGAAAGGGTTAATACATAAAGAAACACTTCTAAACTTTGGTAAAAGAAGTTTTGAACAACATAACAACAATTAACAATCAACAAAGCCCTAAAAAGGGAGTATAAAGACAAACAGTCACAATGTTCAAAGATAAGCATAATATCGATTGACAATAAAATGTATGACATGCTATAAGCCCAGATATTGGGATATTTCTAAACTAGAGTACCTGCTTTTCCATGGTAGTTCAATAAACAGATTTATCAACAGGAATACATGTCAGAGAAGGTCTTTATACATAAATGAAATGAAAGAGTAATAGTTCCATAAAATCACACAGAAGCTACTACAGTATTAGGATGACCATTGACGTGAATTAAAGATAAGAAAACTGCCAACAAACAATCAATACCAAAGCACTTACAACCTCGGCAGTTACTCTCTTTTTTTACCTGTAAAAGCTAAACTCAGCAATATAGGATACTGCACTACTAGTTCTCTGCAGCAGGAGTAATTATCATGTATTCCCGATTCCCGAAACATCAAGTTGATTATGTGTCCGTTCAATAACAAAGGGCTATGTGCTTACATGGTCTAAAAAATAGTAATAAAGTGCACAAATCACAAAGCACCATTGGTTGGGCACATAGCCATGTGGTATTCTTAGGCCATTTAATAATTTCTGCTGCAGCAGTGACTGATCTTAAATTGTGTTATCTAAACTCTAGTAGTACCTCCAGGCACACACATAATGGCAAAGTTGCTAACTTTTACGAGGATTTCTAACTCAAAGTGATGAATCCAAAAACACAATAATGAATTATAATTTGCATATGTAAATGACGTACAATATAGAGTCAATCGGTTCGAGGCCTGTAAAACGTGATGAAGCCTAGAAGCTGACTGAAGAAATAAACACTTAAATAATTCAGTAGCTATGCTCTGACAATCAGTCAGATGACCTCACAAAAAGTGACACCAAAATTTCATCATCTCAACAAGCATAAAGAACTTGACATTAGACCCAAAATCACTTTTTCAGCCAACATTCAACACCTACCAGCAGCCCATAGTGAAAGCATACTCAGAGAATATTAAATGGATTCAAACATACTCCAAAAAACATCAACATGACGTCCAAAGTCCAATTCATCCAATCATATAACTACAAGATTTTCTGACCCTGAATGCAGTACCCTTCTAAACCATACTATTGAAAAAATTCACACAAGTCAAATAATGACAATATTATATCATCTCAATCAAACAAAGAAAGGAAATTTATTTGAATCTAACTACAATTTCCAGCACAAGCTATGTATTGCGCTGGAATTGGTGCAGTAGTAGCTAGCTAGTAAGAAAACTTATTGATTGGGCGAACCAGACAAATGAGCCCTAATCCACAGATTCAAACCGTTGAATCTACTGATTCCACTAATTTTCACTTCCGATCTCCAATCCCTAACGATTTCGCAAGGTTTCTACAACACAAGCTTACAAGCCTATACATACAAGCATAGATATGTATATGCATGTAGTAG